GCTTTGATTCGCTCCCAACTACCATCAGCATTCCTTTTCTTTAGTGCCACTTCTAATTCTATGCTTAAATCCGTAAAGAAACCATGGCGTTTGATGAAGGAGCTATAAAAAATTTATGTCACCACCGCCGGAATATTTTCGGAATGGCGGCTGTGGGGCCGATTCTTTCTTCTTCTGTCCGGAATCGGTCCGCAAACGAAGGCGGTATAAAATGTGCGATTCTGCAGCAATGGCAGGTTCTGACCCTTCGATTATGGAAATTCTAAATATAATCAGGAAGATCAAATGGTGGGACCCGACGAATTTTGGTAGTGCGTTTCCGCTTCGTTGGCTTCTTTAATACCCCTTTTCTTCCTTTTTACCGCCGCTAGATGTTTGTTGAGTTGGTGCGAGAACTTGGGCGATTTTGTTGCCCACAGATTTTGCAGCTTCATGTACCGCTGTACTAGCTGCTTCTTTTAAATGAGGCGTAGCAGCTGCTAATGCGGCTTGTGCCTGCAGCGCTGCCGCCCTTACAACCGGTTGAACAAAACGAGCAACCTTGGAAAAAACTGCACGCAGAAAAATACCAAAAACTCCAATGTTTCGGTAGCTTTCACGATATCGAACAAATCCACTCCCCAGCTGTGTATGACCCAGTAAATAATCAAATAATCCCCGATGGGGCGCAAAAGCTTTATATCCCATTTTCAGTATCTTGCCGGTCGGAAATGGGTGACTACCATCGATTTTCCTGTTGCGAATTTAGCGTTGTCTCCGAGATCAGTGGCAATTGTTACTTCGATGTTGTCGAAAATGGGGCGTAAAAGTGGAACATAATGAGGCATTTCAAAACGTTCCGTGATAATTTTGAAAGCCTCAGTTGCCTTAATAGGCACTGCTCTTAAAACCTGCGCATACGTGTCACCAAGCAAAGTAAAATCCGCAACATCGCAATAAATATATAAAGATTGATTCCCAATCATGGCGTTTATAGCTTCCTGGGCAGTAAACAAAAAGTTTTGGATAATTATCGGTGCCGGCTTTGACTTTTTTCGTTCCGGTTGTTGAACGCTTTCTAAACCAGACGTATTTTGTTTTGAACCGGTTCCTTCGGTATTTTTTGATGACGGTGATTCTGTTTTTTTCGCAGAAGCAGAAGTTGTTGCTGATAGCGCAGCTGGCTTTGGCGCTGGTGTCTGCGCAGGCGGCGGTGGTGGTTGGGGCGGTGAAACTGTATTTGTTTTCGCAACTGTTTGTTGTCGAGCTTTCTTTTCTTTGAAAAATTCCTCCAACTGATTTAAACCGTCAAAATTTTGCAAGGTCAACAATATTTGCAGGATCAGAATAGGCAAACAGTTGTCGATGCTGACACCTAATATGCGTTTCAGCAGTTCATTGTTAATAGCCAGAATAACGGTATTGGCATTAATTGCAATTTGCACTTTTGATTGTTAGCTAGTAATTCAATAGAAAATGCTCTCCTCTTTTTGGATTCTTGTCCTTTTGCCAAGAGGAGCTTCGGAATTTGCGAAGAGATTGTTGCAATGATTTGTTCGTTGGTATAATTGGCGTGTAAAGTAATGCGCTTTTTTCTCAAACAGAAACTTTTCCAACCCTGTTTTAGCATCCGAATTTGTTACAATATCGTAAACCTGCAAACAATCCATGGTCTGTTCTCTGTAGGAGATTGTACATGGAATTTGGGTAATAGAGTTCGACAATTGCAACTTCCCATTTTCCAGACAATGAAATCGTTTTGCATAATTTGGTTTTCCAACTGGATGCAGTGTTATTCGAGTAAATATCTGTGCAAGCATCACTCGGCAATGTGATGTAAAATGGCTGTTGATATTGCAAGCTATTCATTTTCTAATCCGCGTTAGCTCCTTGCATAAAATTTTTTCCTACTATTGGCTCTTCTTTCATCCTCGATACACTGGCTCCGGTGTATGTGGTATTGCTTTGCTATTCGAAAAAGCTCCTCCTGAAAGTTTGTTTCAAAACCTTTTCAAAGTCCCTTTTTTTTGCAATTCTGACGACATCTTTCACCTTAAATACTGGTTTCTTTTTTTATGGTCTGTTTTCTCGTATAATCGATTAAACACAAGCAGGAATTTTCTTCAGTCACATCCGCAGGACAAAACATGAGAAGAGTGAGGAGTGTGATTATATGTCCATACAATATTTTGTAGCCGATCGTAATATTTTGGAGATTTTCGACTAGTAAATAAGCGCCATATGCGCTCACGCAGCGTTCGAATAACGCGCTCCGCCATGGAACATTTTATGTCATCGTTTTCCGAACTGAATAGCATAATCTCTTTCCGTTTGAGTAAATCCCCATTTTTATTAAAAAATTCACGGCCTTTATCAGCCTGTATTTTGTCGAATGGACCCAGGCGTTCTAGTATTTTTCCAGTGCTTTTGCCGTTGATAAACCATCTTTACACTTAATTAACTCGCATTCTATTTTTTTAGAAAAACAATCAATAGCAACCAACACGTAGCCATAATTTTGTTCCACTTTTTAAACTTTTGCATATCCATCAAATCTACCTGAGCTGGCTATTTTATTTAGGACGACCACCGGATTCTGTGGAATTTTCGGTTGACAGGCTTATGTAAAGTGTAGGCATCGATCCCTCAAGAATATTTTTGGCTTTTTCCTTGGGAAACATTTTCTGGAAGGTTTTGTAAAACCGTTCGAGCCCCCTAGGCTGCTCAGTGCACTAGGATTGAGATAGTGCTGGTCCATCGGAAACAGGCTGAGTAATTTTAGGTACCTCGTTGGCTTTGTCACCCAGTTTTAGACGAATCTTCTATTTTTTTTTTTCTATTTTCGTCACTGTCATCAGAACAGCAAGAAGAAACACAATTCAATTTCATCCCTTGTCCAAAATTTAGATTTACCGGCACACAACCGACATTTTAAAGAACCTTTAGCCAGCGGCCCTTTAATACCTTGCCCTTTATAAAAAAACTTTTGTCTGCTCTCGTACCCGCTCGCCACGGCGGCGTGGTACTCTTCTGCGCTTACAGCTTGGAATTTATTATCGGTGATATTTTTGTTTCGTTTAGCGTTTGTTCCAATGCGTTTACCGCGTTTCCTTTTTTCAATGAAAAGATGGATATTTCATCCGAATCAATTCAATCAAGTTTTCTTGATTTTTTGATTTTGAACTGTTTGAATTTCTTTTCGCTTTTTTTTGTTAACGGTGTGGTTATTGATGATAGTTGTGGTGTTTTAGTATTACAAGATATAATATTCTTTTGCATAGCCCCTTTACTAAGTAAATTGTGCTTTCTGCCATTCGCTTAAATTTTGACTTGAAAGGATTTTTGCTGTCAAATCCCCAAGCGATAAAATGTTGTTCGCTTCAGGTGGAGCTTGTAAAACTGTCAGCTCGGCGGCTCGCTTCTTGATATCCCGCTCAGGCACAATATAATGTACCTCCATGACCTAAATTAGAATTTAGCGCTCCGGCCAGAACACTGCTAAAACTGGCAGCACTGCACCCAGAAAGCCACCTTTTGTGTTAATAGCTTTTTTTAGCTTTTGTGGGATACCGTCGAAGAGCTAATAATCGTATCGGCTTTTCCAGCGTCTGCAAATTCGCGTACTTTCTGGTGATAAATTTACGGTATTTTTTACGATATTCAAGCAGCACTCTTCCAGCCCTTTAATATGCTTTTTGTTACAATGATTCGCGACAGCTCTGCGATCTTTGGGGTTGAGCGACGAGAGAAACAGCTAAAAAGAAGCAAATTCTTTCAAATGTTTCGTCATGTTGACGGCACTGCACAAAAATTCGGGTCGGTATAAATTCTTGCTGTTTGAAAGTCCGTTTTGTTTTCTTGCACAACATGAGATCTAACACGCAAATAATCGGGACAATTCGGTTTTAAATCCAAAATCAAAGGTTCAAATGGAGTAGCAGTAATCTTTTTGTACGCTTTTTTCAGATGCTTAAATCCTGTTTGTCTTGATAAATAATCGAGTTGGTTGTTGTCGCGAACATTTTTAAACAACACAATATACTGAGTATTTAAGGCAATATCCCGACTTGCTTTACCTTGCTTAAATAAATTCTGTGTGATATAAATTGCTGACAAATTTCTGTGATGTATTCCTTGCGTAAATAGTTTCGTGGCTAACTCCACTACTGCCATTTCGCCCGCCAGATCATCAATAATTAGCAGATTGCTTTCTGCTTTTAGAAAAACTCCGAATCTAGTAAATCGTCTTTAACCCTTTAACAAATTCTGTTGCTGGAAAAATCTTTTAATTTCTTCGTAAGAGTTTTGCCATTGACTGTATGCTACCACTATTCTGGTTGGGACGACGTCCATTGCATTTCCTTTCAGCATTTTAAGAACATATTGTGTTTTACCACTCATTGTTGGCCCACATATTATTGCTCCGAAAGGCCATTGGAACCTGAGATCATAACCAACTTCTGGATACATGGCACAAATAACCAATATCGTCGCAACTGCGCACTTGAATGTGCCAAATCGACTTGCACCAGCTTAATTTGAACAGACTTTATCACAGAATACGATCTAAAAAATTCTCTTGTCTTTGTGGCGCGTAATATATCCGAAAAAATTCCACGCCAATTATATCGCAACGGTAAATTACTGTCAATGGCGGACGCACACTGCGCGAGTCACGAAATTATGCAAAATACTTTTGCAGCTTATTGCTACGGGTTGCAAAGGAGCACGAATAACAAATTATAAGGTTGTTAATATTATTGCTTCATGTCAGCTGCGACGACAAAACCTTGAAAATATTGGCCATTCAACTGGTGACAAATACTACGAGCCAGAGATATTTCCAGGCATGACAATAAAGATGATGAAAAGCCACATGTATAGTCTTTAATAGTGGAAAATGTAACATACTTGGTTTAAAAAAATTCGAACATATTGAGGAAGTCTATCAGAACTTTGCCAACTTCTCAAATAGATTTTGCTCGAGCTTCACTTTGGAATTCTTTCCATTTTCCTTAGCTGGTGATTCGACACTCTCCATTGACACCGCGTTGCTCCTCGGTACAATCGCAATCGTCTGAAAATTATATATATATAATATTGTTTTTTTGCCAGGATTTTTTAAAAGGTACCAATTTCTTCTTCTGTTTCATAGGAGCTGAAGGAACTGTCCGAATCCGTATCGTATCCTGTAATTAGGGTGCAGTTGACTTGTGGTATTACTCAATTAAATTTTTTTACTTACCGGAGTCGTTGGGAGCGTCCGGCTGTTCATGATTGAGCATTACAATATGTCCAGGAGTTTGGTTGCAAATAGCACGTATAGTTTTTAACTGTGAGAACGCATTTGATTATAACAGTCTATATCAACAAAATCCTGTGCATTTTGCTGCACAGCAATTTGTTTCACAGCATTATCTTTCTCGGTAAACTATTTTGCGTGTGAGAGCGCTTATATAAACACATGTCAAATTAACCGAGTCAAGTCATTAATGTCAGTGTGACGTTCGCTATGATTACTTTCACTGCTGTTTCTTCTCCGTTTGTCGTAGAAAGACATTTGTTTTCTAGGCAACCGAGTAGATAAAGCTGTGACGGTTAATTTTTGTTCGTAATTACTTTATTTGCCGAATCGAGATACACTAATTCCGGTAGAAAAGACTGTATTTTGGAGCAGCTGTCGTTTGCGCGCTGACAACAAATGCGCAAAGGATAGATGTTCCCAAAAAATACTCTTTAAATTAAACGAAAAACTTTGACTGATAAATTTAACTTCAAACTACTCTCTGCTTCAAATCAACCTGCTAATTAACCAAAAACAAGGTTAAATTTTTTTGAGCAGTTGTCGTTTACGTGGTAAACAACAATCGCACGTAAACGATAAATGTCTAAATGATACCCTTAAAATAAAAAACAAAATGAACTACTGCACAGTTATGGGTATAATTCTGTTTCGATGAACACTTAAAATAACATAAGCAAATGGCACGCGCAGCGAATATATTCGTTTTTTAATCATAATAATTCTGTAAGTTTTACTTCACTGTTGTAGTCGTTAATTTTATGTCCTATAAAAGTTAAAAAGAAATGGCAGTATGTATTAACGTCTACTTCCTTTTAGGGATTCCAAAAACCCGCAACGAAACTGCCACAATATTTTAAGGATTTTGCCAGCCAGCAATGTCTACAGCATCAAGTAGAAACCGACTGGCTGTGGCCACCACCAAGTACTTAAACATCCAGTCCGACGAATGGCGCACTAAGACGGTAAGAAATGTTATTATGCAGTAACCTGATTATCAGTTGCATTTACAGGGTAAACTGCGCAAGTTCCAGAAGAGCGCTCTGACCCGTACATTCACCACCATCAGAAAACAATGTTCACTGCTATTATTGTGATACTGAAGAAGCTGTTGGACGTTGCACAAATGGAAAAGTATCACATGGAAAGCATTGCAACTTTTGGCTTCCTGTCCGCCAGACAGTATGCCATCGTCTGATGAGGGCTACTGGATTGATGAAATATCAAATTACCCATCACACTACTCGAAAATCACACGCATCATCGCTGACAACAAAAAAGAAACAAGACGAAACGAAATTGCTGGAGAAAAATTCGCGAACTCACATTGGAACGACCAGTGAACTGCGCCACCGATCAGCTGTCGGAAAGTGAGCTTAAGGCCAGAACCAAGGCGTACAAATCCTTGTGGAAACAACTGACTGAGCTGACAAACTCTGTATCAATGTATAACGACAAAATTAAGGAACACTGCCTCTCCCTGATAACTGGCTTTGAACATCTCGAAATCAAAGCTAAACATTGAGAAGATGACCATTGGTAAGTGTAGTTCCTCTGACTTGTATTAAGTTTTATTTCACAGTTTATTGCAGCCCAGGAAGCGTTCCTTCCCATTGTCCAAGAAATGTCCACTGTTAGCACTCTCATGACCGATACCTGACCCAGTCTGAGAACGGACGTGATGTCAGCGCTGCTTTGAACAAACTGGATGTTGCCATAAACCTGGCTAAGAACGCGCTGCATGGTGTGATCAGCTTGTCTATGTGTATTCATTTTTTAATGTGGTTTTATTTCATTTTGTCAGGTGACCATCCGGAAGTCCGTGATGACCCACGCGTGGATGACATAGGAGAAAGCGAATCGGAAATGAGCACCTCGGACGATGAATAATGCTTTACTTACTGGTTTTCATTTTGCTGTTACTGGTAAACTATATAAAAATTCTGAATAACGTAATTGTTTTATGCGTCTTATCCGCTTTAGCTTTTGATGCTTTCACCTACTTTATACTATACCCGTACATAAATCAAATAATACAGTACAGTCAATGGTCAAGGGATTCCTTATACACTATAGAAAACTAGGAGTAAATATTTAGATACAGTCAACAACTAACGATTTAATCAGTAACTATGGTAATATTTTGTAAATTATTAATACAAAGTATATTTTAGTTTTAATTTTTTGCGGAATTTATTTACTTATTGTGACGTCACAAACTGCAGTCCGAAGTCCAGTGATAACTGGAATCAAAACCTTTGGGACGCCGTTTACTA